CTGCATTTTTATTAAACTGGCTTTGCACAGCTACTAAAGGAGTGATGGCTTTTAAAATCTCTTTGGAAAAGGCTTGATAGCATCTAGGGTAGAATTATTTCTCTAAGCACGGACTAATATTCTTTCGTCTCTAATACTCAGGTCTCAGAGAATTAGAATAGGCAGTGCCAGAAGGATGCTTGGTCTGGTTCAGGCAATTCCCAACAGTGATACGTACTCAGAAACAGCCGTGGGAAAGCAGGCTGACACGGGACCTGCTAAAGACTAGTTTGATACAAAATGTTAATCGAAAGTTACAATATATTTTATAATATAGCAATATATTTCATATTTAAAATAAACTGTTATGCTTTCTCCTATCATTAAAAAATAGCAAGCAGTACAGAGGCAAGATGCAAATTCGTATCGAAGCTCATGTGATTCTGAATGTAACACTTCAGTTTCTGAGTTTGCCATGAACACGTTTCCTCCACTGACGTCCCGTGGCTGTCTGTCGATGCTTCCTGTGGCCTGTGCAGAATGGAGAATCTAGGACCAAAATGGAGTGGTTGCTCCATTAAAAAAACGTGTCTGATGGAGGCGGATTGGTCCTGGTTGAGGTTCGAAAACGGACAGAATGACATGGCCGGGGAATGCTGTTTATTCCCGGTCCACCTTCTGTGAAGTCGGATGTCGTCTTTTCCAATCAGATTACTGTTTGCTTTGTCAGTGCTTTCGTTTGATTTTGTTTTGGCTGTAATGTCAGCATGTCTTTGGGATCCTAACTACAGATTGGTGTTGAATTTTGTGCTTTTCCTCCACCAGCTGGGTTGGTCACGATGTCTCCTTTGTTGGTTTCAACACGTAACGCAGGCCCAAGATTATAGCTTCTAGAATACATTTCTCGGGTGTGTAAACAACTGTCACAGGGCACTTGGCACCTAGATTTGGAGGTCATCCGTTGAAGATTTGACAATGGTTTTGTTCAGAGGGAACTCCAGTTCATGTTTGGGTGTTTCCAGTAATGGTGCAAGACAAAAAAAAAAAAAAAAAAATCACAGTTATTGTTTTCCTCTACTGGATATATTTATATACCATTGCACTGAATACTTGTAATAAGCTGTGGTCTATTTCAATTGTTTTAAAAATCTACGTATTACTTGTCGAACAGGAGTTGCATGTTACTCTCTACTCATGCAGCCTGGCACACGGTTTCTGCTCCAGCACACAGACAGTTAGTATTGCTATCCCCTAATACTCCTGGGTGGCATCAGTGACCCCCTCCCCAGAACGCTTACTTGGGCGGCGGCAGAGCTGGAAGGAACACCGCCCAGGGCTCACGGAAACCGACCCGCCCACGGCAGGAGAGAGCAGAGGCGGTTCCGCGCCTACCCGGAAGCCACCAGATAGCTGTCTAAGGTACTGAAACCGAACGCCGCGGAGTCCCGGGGAACAGCACAACAGTGGCCAGTGGATCCGTCCTCTGCTTTTGGGGAAGTAGAATGATTGTATAGGAGTAGGGGCATATTTCAGAATTGAAAAGCTGTAACTTCGAAAGAATAGTCACCTACTGGTAGTGCAATGATGTCGGAGTTCTCGCAGCAGCACCACGTGCTCTGGGATACAACACTGATCCTTAATTTGGGGACGCCCTGCTTGTTCAGTTACATTCTGGACGGGGAGGGAGATTTGAGATCTAGAACTAGTCCTGTATTTCTCCCTGCCGAGTTTGCTCCCTATTGGATAAGCGCTAGCTTTTTGGTAACTCTTGACCGTGTTCGGACGCGATATCGAGTGTGGGCTAGACTGAGTCTGTCTAGGCGGCTGTGGGTGGCGGCAGAGATTTCATGTTTTTCTCTATGGAAAGCTCTGTACTGAAGATGAACGGTAATCTTCCTGTTAAGTACAGAGGAGCCCAGGTCTGAAGTGGCTGTATGGATCGGCCAAAGATGTGGTTTCAATCTTAGATTTTGACTTATTCTGATTTTGTATCAGTAGTCTCCCCCCCCCCTTTCCATCATTGTTTGTTTACAGGGAAATTACTGGGAATGGAGGGAGAAATCCCCAAGTACATGGAGCTCACGACTTCTCCAATGCTGTCTTCTCTCCTCAGCCTTTAACAACACCCTCTGTCCTCGCTCAGAACTTCAGGACTTACTTCTACACAGTCCCCACGTCTCCTAACTTATAAGACTGTCACGGGACCGCTGTCCTTGTGCAGGCCGGTTGGTGGCAAGGCGGGGCCTCCCACCTCTTGTCCTTTTGGATTGTATTAAGCATCTAGAGCTCTGATGTCATGGAGTCACACGTTACGGTGATGGTAATTTATTGATGGGAGCGCACATCCGTGGCCTTTGATCCACAGGTGCAGGTTTTTATTTGGACTTCAATCTAAGGAGGAGTGAGCCCCTCGTCTGGTATAACTTATCAACTGATGCTATGTCCTGAAATTCCACTGGGATGAGTGGTCTGAAAGTGTCACAGTACATCCCTGACTTTACAGTACATAAAGCTAGAATATGGCTTAAGCGATGAGGGGGTGGCTCTGTATTTCTAGTTCAAGTGTCTAGGTACTTTAGGGGATATTAGGGTGCTTTTGCTGTCACTGAGTTATCAGGGAGATTATAGGAGGGGCTCTGCTACCGGGTCAGCCTTCCAGGAGTAGGCAGGACTCAGCCAGTTCAGCATTAGAGCGGTTTCTGTAAGTAGGGGTTTGTACGTCTAGCCAATTGGTGAGCAGACAGTTAAACCTCCTCCACTACCCAACTCAAAACTAAGGTACGAGAAGGCCTGGGGTGGAATCTGCCCCCTCCCCCCATCTGACTGTGATGCTGAGGTGCAGTGGAATTAGCCAAAAGATGTAGGAAGAAAACCTGGGTGACTACACCCAGAATAATCAATACCTAAGTCATCAAAGACTGATTGTACTTGCAGGAGAACACACTTCCGCACATACAGCTAAAATACTAGTACGAGAAGTCGCCTCCCAGTTACCACTGCGGGAGCTGCATGCAGACTCCATCACTGATTTTCTTGACGAGGGAGTGTTCTTTTGCCAAGGATAAAAACCACACAGTAATTGCACTACCAATAGGCCCAGTCGCGTGACAAACGCCCATGCATTTCTACGATGCCTGTGACTGCTACTACCAGAAATAGCTCTAATCACCCCACTGAGTAGTGTTACCAGCTTGGTCTTCAGGGTTTACCTAAGCGAGAGCATCCGTGATTAGCTAAGGGGTTATCCACACACCACGGTGGGTAAATAAGAGTTTGTGCCCACTTATGGACAGAAGGAGTGGCAATGGAATCTTGCATGTCATTTACCCGAAGACTAAACCCCTCTATGTACACACAACCACACCCACATGCACACATGTCACAGGGTTATGGCAGAATGGAAGGGGCCAACCGGGGTCCATAATTGAAGGCCATGGCTCAATGATGAGGACTGGAACACTCTGGATGACCCGCCAGTGGTCTTTCCTCTGGGAAATGGAACTCATGCCACAAAGAAACTGCTTGGTTATTTCATCTGTTTCTGCAGCTCCTTACAGGTTCGGTTGAACTGTCACTGAAAACAGGAGCACCATTCTTGGGACATAAAAAAAAGGAGGGGAGATCTTTTAGATAATCAAGTTAAGAGAACAAGTTTTAAAAAAAAAAGCCAGCAGTAGGTGTGGTATTTCTGGTAGACAAAACAACTAATGGACATGTTCAAAGGAATTATGATGATAAAGCTTGAAGGCGATGACAATGAAAGGAACAGCAACCATAGCAAGAGACAACAGTAGAGGTTTAGCAAAAGGCCAGATCTTCCAAAAGAGCGGCCTTCACTTTAGGGTTGTCTACCTTTGTCCAATGACTCCCTCGTCCTGAAAGGACCAGACTCAGTGCTGCGGAGGGAAAGTCTCAGTCAGGCACCATTTTGACATGGCCATGGTGTCTCACCACAGAGCTAAGCCCAAGGCGGCAACCCTACCCAATAACACCCTTTTGTTTAATCCTAAACAGATGAAATATTCCATACAGTAGCATTTAATGTCCCACACACAGAGGCCAAAGACTTCATAATGAGAAAAGTGATGAATAACGTGATGGTTTTCACATCACAAATGTCAGGTTTGGTCCAATGATGGAGCAATGAGAACATTTTCCATGGCTGTCATGACCCTGGATCTCAGCGTGTCTGAAGTCTCTTGGAGTTTGAGATGTATGGGAATAGTTTTTGTACCAAGATTATCCTGGTGCAGTAGAACAGACTATTGACAAGTCTATGTCCTCTTACCTTACCCATAAGGTTCCCTAAGGTCTCCCTTTATTCTCATAATGTCCCATTATGAGATGACTTCGGGTCAGGTAGAAGGGACCGCGTGGGCCACTCTCCATCATTCTCCTCCCCGCTGTGCAGCTCACAGGTGAAGTATTCAACATTGCGCTCCTAGCATCTGAGGCTGGACACCTGTTGCTGGATAAATACAGCTCAGCACACCCCCAAATAATATTTCTCTCCACTAATAGGCCATTGGGTTGCACCTGTGTGTGCAAGTATGCACACGCATGAACAATCCCCTGCTCATCCTCCCTCACACACATATACCTGGCCGTGTGGCCCATTGAAACACAGCTCGTTTGGATGTAAGAAGAAAGCTGCAGAAGCTGTTATCTTTAGAAGCCTGCATTTCCCTCCCAAATGCCAACAGTTCTGGCTTGGCATCCACCTCAAATCAGGCATGGTGCCTGTCGGGGGCAAAGCGGCCTGCACTGAGTTTGAAGGGATCTGAGTCTTTGGGGCAGCTCTGCAGGGGACCAACACAAGCTGACTCTGAACAGAAGGCACCCCACATTCAGATCCAAACCCACGCGACACGTTAGAATGCTTGCCGTGTGCAGGGGAAGGTACTAGAAGGTCCTAGGTCCCTTTTATTTGGGGTTAGCTCAAACAAGAAAGGACCTGGGTTGGACGTGGGATGTGTCTGTGTACACGCACAAGCTTGCAAACACACAGGCTGATGTGGATATGACTGGTGGACGGAAAATCTGGCTGTTTATTGATCTGTGTCTTTTTCGCATTTGGGCCTAAATTGGGTATATCTGATTTGGCAAGGTTTGGCAGCTCTCTCTTACCTGTGCCACCCAGAGGTTCCCTTAGATTAAAGGAAAGGAGCACGTGTGCTCGAGGAGCCCATCTCCTCAAGCCGCACACGACCCTCTCTCCCAGCGCGCCCCTCTTCTGGGCTGGCTTCACTGTTGGCTACTTCAGTGCATCCGGCCCCCCACCCCCCATGTGAAGACCTGAGATTGAGCGTGGATTTCTGTTCTCCACCAGCTCTGCAGCAAGGGCCCTGCCAGAGGCGTCGCTCCCTGCCACCTCCTCTTCCCACTCCCAAGTAGAGGCACCTAAACAGAGATTAGATTTCTGGTTTCAAGGCATATCGAACCAAGCACGCTGGATGAACACAAGTGAGTTAATTAGCTCGGTCTCTCTTCTTTCCATTCCCTGGTCTGAATGTTCCTCGATGGCAAAGCGACCAGGAGAGAGTTGATTTGCATCTTAAGACCTATGGGTAACGCTTCTGGAGCGGGGAGTTTTATTTAGCAACTGCTTGAACTTGTGTACGGGGTCGGGAAGGAGGTGGAGCTGACCCCAATCGGGCTGTCGGAGAGTGGGGTGTGGGTGGTGCCCACTGCCACGCTGACGCCCCGGGCCTCGATGAGGGCAGACAGGAGCTGCTGCTGCTGCTGGCGCCAGGGGTCGGGCAAGGGAACGGGAGGGTGCCCCCTGCCCCGCTGCCGCCCCGGGCCTCGATGAGGGCAGACAGGAGCTGCTGCTGCTGCTGGCGCAGGGTGTCGGCGATGAGCAGGGGCAGGGAGTGGCAGCTGGCCGTCAGGTGCTCCAGCTTGGACTCCAGGCTGCCAATCTGCTTCTCCAGATCTTCGCTCCGGTCGTTGAGTTCCGTGATTAAGTCATACATGACGTTCTGCATCTGTGCGGGGAGATGGAGAGATGAGGGACGGAGCCACAACGGGTCATCATAGAGGAATCCGCCACAGGAAAACAAACCACACCTGAGGAACTTCCATGCCAGTGAGGCCTCGTCAGGCCAAGGAAGGAGGACCCATTTACTTTCCCTGAGATGAGGCCGAAACAGGCACTTGTAAAGATTAGTACTACAACAGTAATGCATGCAAATTGTGAAATTATATTAGAAAATATGTATGAAGGACAAGCAGCAGTGCTTTTTTTCTTAAGTGGGGACAGTCCTTAAACTGTCCTCATGTTCTTACAGAGATGCCAGCTCTCGCTCACATGGCTGGTGGCATCTAATGATTTGAGAAGGCACGGCAGCGGAAAGGGACGGTGACACAGACTTACAATTAGCAGGCCAGGTTCCAGTCCTGTCAGGGGTCCTACCCAACCTGTCCCTGGCCCCTCTGTTGGTCTGCAGAGTCCTAGTCTGTGTGACAGCCATATTTCTCCCAGCAAATTAACAATGTCCCCCCGGCTCTGGACATCAGACTTGCAAGCTAGGTTTAGCAGGAGTTTCACTCTCAGGTGCTAAGGAGTGAGGTTCCCATGGCAGAGGCCCAGGCTGGCTGTTGCCGTGTCCCCTGCATCTCAGATACTGAGGCTCTGGCTTCTGGAGACCTTCCAGTGACACCCTGGCCCCATTTCACCTGCAACTTCAAGTTACTCCAGGAGGATATGGAAGCCTCTGGTGCCCCCAAGGGCCAAAGGAGCAAGAAAAAAGGTGAGAGTAAAACAGAGGTATGAAAGAAGGTGGTGGTCAGCAGGTAGCATGAAGGTTAAGGCAGCTGAATCCACATGGCTAACTGCAGTTCGAGGCCCAGACCTGGCAGCTGGAAACACACTGAGTGCATGTGCGTGTGTGCCCAAAATCCAAGAGGAGACTGGAGGAGGAGGGATTGCAGCATGGCTACTCCTTCCCCACCCCGCAGGGAGCTTTCTTTCTCTCCTCTCTGTTTCTGTGAGTGCACATGCCCTATAATAAATAAATAAAAATAAATAGAGGATGTCACTGCAGTAAAGCTTAGCACTCTGAGGCCGACCCATGGGAGAAGGTTCTGGGTTCGTGCTGGACATGCTTGTGGCCATGATCTGGGCTGGCTGAGGCTGGGGGCGGAATCTGGACCCTCTTTGGGGGTGCCTGTCTCTCTCCCTGTCTCTTTGCCTCTGTCTCTGTTGCTCTCACTCATGAAAGAAATAGAGAGAAGCCAAAGAGGAGGAAGGGGTTGGGGGACTGGAAATGCAGGGGTACCTTCCTGACAGACTGCAGGACCGCCTCACTGGGCAGCCCAGGCGTCGCTGGCAGAGGGGGCATGAAGATGGCACCTCCTCTCTAGCATAGCCAGTGGCAGAGCAGGACACCACGCTGTGGACACCCTCGGAGGAGAGGGTGACTTTGTAAGGGAAAGGACTTCCAACCTTCATCAATATTCACAGAGCCTCCTCAAGGTGTGCATTCTTCCCGGAATGTGCAGAACCCCAAGTGCACTTGGCCGCAGGGGCGCTCTGATCAGCTCTGGGCTCCGAGTCCAGGCCCTTGGGTTTTGGCCCCAGAGTTAGTGCTTGCCAACTGCCCAACCTTGGGATGGTCACTTCGTCCCTTTGGATCACGGTTTCCTCATCTATATTCATCAACCCAACGACCCGTCTACACAACCTTGAGGAAACAGAGCATTTTCACAGCTGTTCTCTTACTCGATCACCTGAGCGTCAGATGGCAAGAATTATTTTTACATTTCAATTGAAATGAAAGCAGTCTGGTAAAGAGCCCAAGTCTTCCCGGCTCTGTGGCTCCAGAAGATAGCTATTCAGTATAGAAAATGATGTTTGGAGGCTACGGTGCCACATCCTTCCTCTAGAGAGGCCCGAAGGGCAGGGGTGGGAAGGTGGTGAGCCGGGAGGGCACCGTACAAAGAAAGAAAAGGGACTGAGCCCAGCGGTTTTGTCTCGCCCTGCTCGGTTGCCTGGCGACAGGATGCCAGGGGGAACAGAGACCAATGGGAAATATGCTGAAGCTGCTGCCAGGACCTTGGGCGAGTCTCCTGGGAGGAAAAGACACAGACTGGACAAATTCAGAGTTCACCTCCACTGGCCCTCACACCGAGTTCCCACAGGAGCGCTGCAGGGCCTTAACCCTTTCTGGATAATTCGCTCCCCAGGTTAGTGGCAGCCTAGTGCCCCACCCAGTTCCAAGAGCGTCTTTCCAACTCACTGGGGCTTCTGCTTCACCCCGATCTGCTCTGTTCGGCTCCTGCTTTCTGAGAGGCTACACATGCATGCTGCCACTCCCAGGGGAACCTCAGCCCAGGTGTGTCCTGCTGGGTGAGGAGTGACAGGAAACATTGCTTCTTATATGAAAATATCTCGGGGCATTTTTTAACTTTTTCTTTTTTTTTTTTTTTGAGAGGTTTTTTTTTTTTTTTTTTTTTTTTTTGCTATAAGGCCAGAGAGATTGAGATAGACATAAAGTGAAAAATCACCCCCCAGGAGGGATGGCCACACTGCAATTCCTTCTCCATTCTCCTGTCAGGATTATTGGCCACACATGCATGCCCTGCATGAGTTCTAAGCTGCTGGGTCCGGGATTTGAACTGCAGTCAACTATGTGGGAGTCAAGCGACCTAACCTTTACACCACCTGCTGGCCCCATCTCAGGGCATTTCAATGGCTCATTCCTGAAGGTTATAGGGCAGGCCCTTGTTATGTTTGCTCTACTTGACCCTCTTCCTGATTATAGCTGATTGGTCTGAGGGTGGACACGTGATCTAAATTGGCCAATCACCTCTTCTCTTCTGAGAATTTAGAATGAAGACCAATAGGAAGCCGATTAGTGTTTACCGATGGCTGAAATTTTAGCTCATATTCTCTGGACCGGGGGCCTGCGTAGTCTGCCGTGGAAACAGGAGGCAAGACTGCAGGGGGAGAATGAATTGAAGCAGACATTTGAACAGCAGGGGAAGACATGGCTATTCTCTGGACCGGGGGCCTGCGTAGTCTGCAGTGGAAACAGGAGGCAAGAGTGCAGGGGGAGAATGAATTGAAGCAGATGTTTGAACAGCAGGGGAAGACATGGTGAGAAGAACCTCCTGGGTTGTGAGGGCTTCTCAGGTCCAGTTCTGGTCAGGTGCTTCCTGAGGTCTGACCACTTTCGAGTCGCCAAGTCTGGGAATCAAACCATGCAGCTGGCCATGTGGGATCCAGCTGCCTTAGCCTCCACACTACCTGCTGGCCCATTATCATTTATTTTTAATAGACATTTTTCCACTTTAAATAAAAATTGTTAAAGGTGGGACCAGCAGATGGCATAGCAGTTATGTCACTGGACTCCTATGTAGTCAACCACAATTTGAGTCCCAGACCAAGTGGCTTGAAACACACTGGGCTCATGTGTGTGTGTGTGTGTGTGTGTGTGTGTGTGCTCACAAGAGGAGAATGAGGAAGGGATTGCGGCACTGCCATCCCCCCAGGGGGGTGATTTCTCACTTTCCGTCTCTCTCTCTCTCTCTGGTGAGTGCATGTGCCCTATAGCAAAAAAAACCCAAAAAACAAACAAACAAAAAACCAATAAACAACAACAACGACAAACTAGTTCTGGTGAGTTTCTCCTATTGGAAACCAAGAGTATTTAACCCAACACACCCAAGACACCAGGAATTCTCTGCTGCAAGCCCTCCATTTAACCCTCCACCCCCAGGCTCTCAGGAACGCTGTGCTGCACCCCAATGCCCTCTATCAAAGGCACATGTTTCTGTGGGCTTCTCCCCACTGCGCCGAGTCTCTTACTCCCTGATTGGCGGCCTCGCTGGCTTAGGAAGCCCTTTCTTTGGCTTGATCCCTCCACTGAACAAGGCATCCGCACGTGGCCCAGAAACCAGTAATTTCTCTGATTGTACACTCTTTTCAAAGGGTGCTTAATTTGCCTGAGGGAGTTTACCCAGGAACGTGTTCCATTATGATAATTGACATGTGCAGGAATGTTCTGCCAGCCTGGCCCTGGGCTGTACACTTGGAATACAATTTCTATCAAGAGGCAACGAGGAGAGGGAGGCCCTTTCTCCAACGGCGCCTACTCTCAGCTCCACTAGCGATGCCACCTCCAGTTCCTTCACTTGGGCGATTGTCAAGAGGAGCACGTTTCTGTACAGCGTTTAGTGCCAGAAACGCAGAGTGACAGCGTGATGTGGAGCCTTCAGCTCTAGGGCTCTCAAAGCAGGCCTCTCGTTTTTGATATCTTCATGTTCATTGTAGGCCCTCTGCCTCTTGAGAAGTAAAGAAATGTATCACCACCAAATGGAGGCCACAGCCCCTGAGTTGTAAGGTCTGGGAAAATGAATCTCCGATGAGAACATGAGATTCCAATGAGAAGGACCTTCTGAGGTGTCACCCGGGGGTCAACTTGGCCATCATCCCCATTTGGGCTCATGTGTTTCACCCCTGGCAAATTTGAGCTCCTTCTTAGAAGCCTCTCAGTGTGCAGCTAACAACACAACACACTAAGAAGATTTCACAGGTTCACTCATTAACTCCAGGCAAAGACAAATCTGAGTATTTACTTACGAAACAAACACCAGGTTTTAAAAGACAAGACGCTCTGTTATGTTGTAAATGTCAAAAACTAGAACCTAGATTCTTTTTCTAACCAAGAAGGCATTGTTCTTTGCTTTCCTGGTCCTGCCCTGACCAGTCTGGACGCAGCCAGGTCTTCACAAGTGCACGTGGAAACTAGATGCTATGGCCCAAGGGCTTGTGAAGATGACCCCGGATTCTGCCACTCACCTTGGAGAGGTCCACCAGCGTGTTGGCTTGGTCGCTCAGCTTCCTCTGCTCCATCTTGACGCTCCGCAGTCTGTTGGGAAGAGTCGGAACAGCCAGCCTTTCAAGTCTATGTTAGGGTTCAGCCCCACCGTCAGGGTCTCCAGCCCTACTGACGCATCCAATCTGGGAACCTTGCAAAGGGGACCTTGAACACGGGTAACAAGTAACTAGAATCCAGGGCTGATCAAGTCCCCAAGAAAACAAACCCTTGTCCCCACGCACGCTGCCTTCAGTGACTCTGGCCTCCCCGCTGCTCTCAGCTCCTTCCCTGTTTCCAGGCCCTTGCGTAGGCTGGGCCTCCACCTCCCGTGCCCTGTGTTCAAACTTCAGAGTCTCCCCAAACCTCCATGTCCGAATAAATGTTTTTACTTCTTGCTTTTCCACTGTATTATTTGAATTCCTCTGTGGGTCAGCAGGTGGTACAGAGGTTGAGGCAGTCGGATCCCACATGACTTACTGAGTGGTTTGAGTCAGGACCTGGTGGCTTGAAAATCACACTGGGCACGTGTGCGTGTGTGCCCAGAACCCCAAGAGGAGAAGGGATTGCAGCATGGCCATCCCTTCTGGGAAATGATTTCTTACTTTCTCCCCTCTCTCTCTGTCTCTTTCTCCTGTGAGTACACATGCCCGAGAGTAAACTACAAAGAAATAATCAGTTGTATTTCTTTGAAAAAAAAAAAATTCCTCTATCGTAGGAAATATCAACCAAAGTTTGTTTCATCTGCGTTGCATGTGGTGTGCGTGTGTGTGTGTGTGTGTGAGAGAGAGAGTGTGTGTGTGAGAGTGTGTGTGGGGGTAGAAGATGAGAGCCCTTAGAGGCTCTTACTCTAACGTCTGCCTTCCATGGCAGCCTGCCCAATGTCTGGGTTACGGAAGGTGTAGCAAGTTAATCAACAGACTGATCTGGGCCCAGTCCGCCCTCGTATTTGCTGAGTTGACAAAATGAATTTCTTCTGTGCCTTCTAAGTATAAGAGGGGGCTGTTCAAATATTCCCAGAAAATGTATATTATGAAAAGCTATGTATGACTTTCAAAATTTTTTGCATCAAAATAAATTCATACATTTGTTCCATTTTCAGACCTTCTTGTAAATTTAGATTTTGCCATAGGGCATGTGTGCTCGCTGTAGAGAGACAGAGACAGACAGAGACAGAGAGAGAGTGAGAAATCATCCCACCGTGGGGAAGGCCATACTGCGATCCCTTAGCTTCATTCTCCCTTGGGGTTTTGGGTATGCACACACATGCACCTGGCATGATTTTCAAATGGACAGGTCTAGGATTTGAACCATGGGTTTGGCCATGTGGGATCTAGCCACTGTAACATCCATGCCGCCTGCTGGCCCCAGACTTTTAAAAAAGTTACCACAGGGCATATGCGCTTTCCAGAAAGAGCCAGAGAGAGAATGGAGAAAGTACTCCCTCAACGAGGTGTGCGCATACCACAATCCCTTCTCCATTTCTCCATCCTGTTGGTATTTGGGGCACACACGTGCACTTGGGTATGTTTTTCAAGCTGGCAGACGGGGATTCGAACCATGTCAGCCATGTGGATCCATCTCCTTTTACCTCTAAGCTACAGACCCTTTTATTTCCATTTTCCTAGGGACTTTTTGAAGTCCCCAGTGTGGGAAGATACCGGTGGAGCTGCAGGGGTCCCGCCCTCCAGATGTGGCCACCAGGGGGCTGAGCCACTTGGGCACACTCACTGGTGGATAGCTTGCAGGAACTTCCTCTGGTGCTTCCTGACTTTGGCGTGGTCAATCTTCTTTAGCAGCTTTGTGTGTTTGTAGATCAGCCACGTTTCTCGAAGGACATTGGCTGCAGCATTCTTGATCTAAGGAAAGACAGACAAAACAGGCTGCTCTCAGGTTAATTTCCCCAGGTTCACTCAGTACGTTTTCCATGCTGGCGGCTACAGGCTACCTTGCAGGGAAATGATTCTGCAATGATCTGTTTTCTTAGTCAAGATCATGGGACTCAGAAAAGATGATTAAGGGACCAGCAGTTAGTGTAACGGCTATGTTGCTGGACTCCCATGTAGTTGATCATGATTCAAGTCCCAGACCCAGTGGCTTAAACTCACGCCAGGCGCGTGTGCGTGCGTGCTCAAGATCTCAAGAGGAGAATGGAAGAGAAGGGACTGCAGTGTGGCCATCCCCCCTGGGGGGTGATTTCTTGCTTTCTGTCTCTCTGTTTCTCTCTGTCTTTCTGGTGAGTGTATGCGCCCTATAGCAAAAACCTCTCCAAAAAGAAAAAAAAGATGATTAAAATTCAGCTCTTTTTAATCCTGTATTGGACACAGTAGACTGGAGCTTGAAGTGGAGGGGTGTCTCTTCTTTTTAATTATTTTGCTACTGCCTCTGGAACGCTGTTGCTGATGCTAAATTTAGACAGGCGGCACAGCCAAGACCTGAAGGCCGGGGTCCCCTTCGAGTGGGTAAACACACACCATTGCTGCTGCCCTCGCATTGGGTCGTCGGGAAAGTCATGACGCATCGTTGCATAGAGAAACAGAAAAACACGTCATGACTTAGCTGACAGCCGAATAGATTTTCCTGCTTTACCCAAGTCCCCCATCTAGAGCACAGGGGACATGCCTTGGGAGAGAATAAACAGGTTTGCCACCAGCTGGAGATTTTAAAAGGCCTCTCTCAGGGACCGTCCTTGCCACTGATTGGAACTGTAGGTGTCAACAAGCCCATTGTTTGGTTTTCCAAATGGCCAAACGCATTCATCCTGCAGTTTTCCATGGGAGTGTAATTGGCATTAAACCGAAATCACGCCAAAGCGATGTCTGAAAAATCAGCAGCTAGATTTCGGTGTGAAACCAGAGCCGCCTCTTTTCCAAGGACGGCTCCTCCGGCATGCGCTGCAATCACACGTTTCAACATATGACGCTGTGCTGGTTGACATGGAAACCACTGATATCACCCGGCTCACGGCGGAGACGAGACATATCGATGGCATCCAGATGGCAGGGGACAAAGTTTTAATCCAAACACAGACATCTTCAGCAATTAGTAACAAGAGCAGGAGGAAACATTCCTTACTAAGCACAAGCTAAACAGATTTTTGATTAACCATCCCCATCTCTGTCAGCCATGCAGACTGGCGCAGGGCCACAGGCCCGGGGCCTGGAAGTAAGTAGGCCAGCCTAGTAGAATTCAGGGTAGTAGCCAGAAAGGATTTTAATGAAATTGGAGAGTACAGACCTGCCTCTTCAGACTGACATCCACAGATGGGGTGTTGTTAAAATACTGAGATGCGTGGGAAGGCCTAGGAAACATTGTTTTGCAGGCTGATAACTTTTGTGTGTGTACGTTTTAAAAATTTATTACTCAGGCTGGATTATATTTTTCACTGGCGCTGAAGTCATGTTTTTAAAAGAACAGCTAAGTCTTCTCAGAAATGTCTAAGTGACATAAATATCGCTTTTTCATTCAGTAAAAAGCCACTGTGAAAATGGCTTTAAGTGACTTAATTGCCCACCTCTGGTCCTTTCTTGCCTGAAAGGAAGCAGGTGTTGGTGAGTAGAAGCAGGAAATGGTGGCCGTCCCAGGGAAGAGGGGAAGGCAGAGGAGAGGGTCGTCTCTGGGGCTCTGCTGACGGGCTGAGTGGGCAGTGGCCTCTTGGCAAAAGAGGCGGCACCCAGAGGCAGCATTTGCTCTGCAGAGCTCACAGACCTGCTGCCCTTTTGTAGGGAGAGAAGACAATCTGGCATGTGGTTCGGTAGTTTCCTCAGGCGCCTAGTTCCCAAAGGAGGCCTCAAAGGAAAAAAGGGCACAAGCCTACCCCAGCATTTGTGGGGCAATCAGCAGAATGCCTGGAACGCAAGTCTCCTCTTTGGAACGCTGACAGAGCTGCAGAGTGTCCGAGATGACAGGCCTTTGACAACACTCTCAGTGTCAACGTAGAACAAACATTTGAAATTGGGAAGCCTGCAGGTGAATTCCTGCTCTGCCCATTGGTAAGCAGTTTTGGAGAAAATGATCTTTAAGAAAGGAAAAGAAGTCCTTATTTTTAGTTTTTATTGCTTTTTAGGTTTTTGCCATAGGGGACGTGTGCTCGGCAGGAAACAGAGACAGTGAGAGGGAAAGTGAGAAATCACATCCCGGGGGGACCACACCTCAATCCTTTCTCTTTCATTTTCCTCCTGGGATTTTGGGTGCAAGTGCACACACGCACACACACACACACACACACACACACACAAACCTGGTGTGATTTTCAAGCTTCCAGGTCCGGGACTCGAACAGTGGTCAGTCATATGGGAGCCCAGCACCTTACCCACCATGACACTGCTGGCCCTGTGAAGTCCTTACTTTAACAGTTGCTAGGAGGCCCAAACGAGGCAGTGATGCAGGTGCTGATGGTTCTGAGGGCTGCAGCTAGCATGTGCCAGGTGCCAGACCCAGATCTGAGTACTTCGTGTGTATAAATTCACTTCATCCTCACAACAAGCCTGTCAGCCAGGTACCAAGATTATCTCCATTTTGCAGATGAAGACAGGGAGACACAGACCAAGACCTCGGGAGTGACACATGGCACACCAAGTCAGCGTGGGTCTGGGGGCAGCCTAACTGTGAAGTACCACGGATTATCATTTAGCTCAACCTCCCCACTTCAACATGAGGAAGCTGCTTCCGAGATGGGACGTGAGGACCAGGAGCCCACAGCTAGCTGAGAGCGGAGTGACAACAGGAGCCAGGTCCAAGAAGAGCAGAAGGTTTTCATGTGGTCTGAGGCAAGACCTGACCAGATTTCATCTTCACACAAACAAAATGACTTCCTGTTTTCCAGGATCAAGGAACTGGAAAGGTCATTAGAATTGTTTCCCCCTCAGTTCTCACAGCCCTCATTTAGCAATGTGACGGAACACAGAGTCCGGGTCCTGCACGCCACTTCAGCCCAGATGGAAGACTGAAATTCCCGCACCGGCGCGTGGCTGAGCCGGGCAGTCACGCCATCTTTACGGTGAGTGGGAGGCCCCACACACAGGGGAAAGCCATGTTAAAGGCAAGCCTTTGCGCTGGCAATGAAATTAATTGGCAGCAAACAGCCGGACGCAAAGCTAAGGAGATCAATACTGCAAGCGAAGAACAGGCTTCAGCTGCACCGTGCGCTCCCGGGTGGACAGTAAACACCGCTGCGACCAGGCGTCCCCCAGCTCACCTGGCCGATCTCCTTGAGCATCGCTGGGGTGGGAAGCAAGTGGAAGTCTGTGCTCCCCTCCCTGGGGTTTGCTGAGCCTCCTTGGGGCTCCACTGCTTCCTTGATGGGGCCTTGAGGACCCCCGAACTCTTCTGGTGGGCGGGGGCATCAGGGCCAAAAGATGCACCAGGGTGGAGGGGTGGGGAGGGGAAGGGGCAGGACTCAGATGGCAGCTTCAAACAGCAAGGGCTTGTACACGGTGGGCCACGAGGGCTCAGGATGGCCAGGAGAGGGCCCTGTGTGTGGAAGGCTGGATGTCCCAGCTCCATGACCCATCAGCATTTGGACTGATTATTGGAAAAAAAAAAAAAAACAGAAGAAAACAAAAACCAACCAACCAACCATGACATTTTCACTCTGGGGCCAGAGGATAGGCCCCGTGACCTACATCCTTTGGGAAGAACTCAAAGACGAATGAACCTGGCCAACTATGATCTTGCAAATAACGGTGGCGGCTCACATTTACGGAGCACTTACTGTGTGCCAGGCTCCCTTCTAAACATTGCTATCTGCGTTGTTGCGTTAAGCTCAGAAAAACCTGATGAACAGGTGGGATCGTTCGCTCCCCCTTGGACCAGTCACTGCACTCTCTGGGACTCACTTTCCCTAGTCACTCATTCAGAGAACATTTAACAACCCCTCGGGTGGGCCAGGTACTATTCTAGGAAGTGCAACTATGGTAATGAGCAATTCTTGCCCTCTTGGAATTCACAATCTTGGGGAGCAGGCAGGGTGCAGTTTGTAATAGAGCATCAGGTAATAAGTGTTTTAATGAAAAATAAAGCAGGGCTGGAGGCCGATGCAAGTATTGTTGATCTGCGAAACGGGAGCGTGCTGGTGGAAGGCGAACACAAACACAGCACCGAGGGCAAGGTGGTAACGCAACTGGACGCACAAGGGAGGGGCCCGAGTTTGAGTCCTGGGACCTTGCTGAGCGCACCAGGCATGTCTGGTTGAATCTGGGAGTGGGTGGCATCATGAACCCGGTGGGGGGTATCCGTCTCTCTGTTTCTCATGGAAGAAAGAAAGAAACTTCAAACAAACAAACCCACTCGGCGTAGAGCATGGCTGCGGTACATCTCAGGACACGGCAGCTTCATGAATAGCCCTCCCCTCCCCTACCCAAAAAATGTCATCTCCCCGACCTCAACAAAAGGAAGACGCGACAGAAACACACACGTCTGTATCTGAGCTCTCGGCCGTAGCTTTCCAAGGCGGTGGCTTTCCCTGGCCACCCCTCTGCCACTTAGTGTTACAGAAGGGCTGTTGGGCACAGGAGGGACACCCGGGCTGGGTGCTGGTGATGAGAGACTCATCTTTCTGGGGCACGCCATGGCTCCAGCAGCCACAGGGAGCCCTGGGAGACTAGAGTAATCCTGGAGCCCCACCGGGGCCCCCAGGGGAGGGGCCACTAGCATGCCCGCTACGTCCCAGAGCCCTGGCCAGGGAAGTGCTCTACCCGGAGGTTGGAGAAGGGGAGTGGAGGAAGCCAGATCAGGCTGGGAATGGGATTTATATCATTTTGAGGAGGTAGGTTGAACCTACACTCCCTGAGCAAGGCCTGCAGGCTATCCGTGACTCAGACCCTTGGCTGGTACCCCTGAAGCATGGCTCTGGAGAAAG